CATACTCTTTTTGACACACTTCAGTCACTGGAATAGGAGAATAATGGGGAATATCTTCTTCACCTTGCAGAGAACAATGCTTCTCCAAAACCGGAAATGGCCATGTCTGGGCTTGCAAACTGGGAAGAGAGGGAGTATGAGTAAAGTTCCTTCGATCTTAACTAGCATGAAACTCTGATAATGTTGATGTCATGTGAAGAAACAAGTACAAACAAGTAAGAGTTCGTACTCTTTGTTGGATTTCAAGCAGTTATGCCATTTATGCACTTTGCTGTAAAGATCCCTCGCAGGACTCCTCTCTTTCTGTGAAGAGGTCACTGAGCCGCATCAGCTCCCCATTGAGGTCAAACTCGATGTGTCTCACATCGCCATTTCGCTGCAGAAGAGCCACATGCGTCTCCATCATCCAAACACAGTCGACCTGTCGATCTGCAGAACAAGAAGCTACTAGGAACAAAGGGCATCGCTACTAGGAGCAAGGGCCTTACTACTAGGAACAAGAAGCTACTAGGAACAAAGAAGCGATGAAGTACAGAAAAAAGCTATTTGTGTGACAAATGGCCTCCCCACAGTCTATCTGACGTCGATCTGACCACCAAAAAGAACAGTCAACATTAACATTCGCTTGCTTTGCCCATACTAACTATGCCCTAGGCTTACAAAATGCTTCAAGTGAAGAAACAAATAAATCATCTCTCTCACAGACTGTGTAAGCTCTGGCACACTTGTAGATGGGCTCCACGACAAGTCCGAGCAAGTGTAAACTTTTGTCAAGGTTGAGCCCTTGCCCAAGAAGATCGTCATTGCGCCAGTTCGGTCAACTGCCGAAATCCTTGTGAGACGTCAACAGCTGAAGCAATACGAAAGCAAATGTATCCGCCGACCCCGGCCGACGCAAGGGGGAGCGCGCCAGGGAATAATGATAGATCCGCCAGAACTCAATCGTTTGGAGCAGAACTCAATGGGTTAAAGCCGTGGCGAAGGGGTGGTTTCAGATGCTTTTGGGAGGCTGGAAAGCTTTTGGCAGGCTGTTGGTGGAAGCTTTTTGGGAGGCTGGTTAGTGGTGGAAGATGCTAGCAAATTGTTTTTTTTCTAGGGTTCCAGAGCGTCCGTTTGACACGGAACGTCCGAGGAATTGGGGCTCGTTTGGAGCAGAACTCAATGGGTTAAAGCCGTGGCGAAGGGGTGGTTTCAGATGCTTTTTGGGAGGCTGGTTAGTGGTGGAAAATGCTAGCAAATTGTCTTTTTTCTATAGGGATCCAGAGCGTCCGTTTGACACCGAACGTCCGAGGAATTGGGGCTCGTTTGGAGCAGAACTCAATGGGTTAAAGCCGTGGCGAAGGGGTGGTTTCAGATGCTTCTTGGGAGGCTGGTTAGTGGTGGAAAATGCTAGCAAACCCTATAGGGATCCAGAGCGTCCGTTTGACACCGACCGTCCGAGGAACTCGTTTGGAGCAGAACTCAATGGGTTAAAGCCGTGGCGAAGGGGTGGTTTCAGATGCTTTTTGGGAGGCTGGTTAGTGGTGGAAAATGCTAGGAAAGTGTTTTTTTCCTAGGGATCCAGAGCGTCCGTTTGACACCGACCGTCCGAGGAATTGGGGCTCGTTTGGAGCAGAACTCAATGGGTTAAAGCCGTGGCGAAGGGGTGGTTTCAGATGCTTTTGGGAGGCTGGAAAGCTTTTGGCAGGCTGTTGGTGGAAGCTTTTTGGGGGCTCCTTTGGAGCAGAACTCAATGGGTTAAATCCGTGGCGAAGGGGTGATTTCAGATGCTTTTGGGAGGCTGGAAAGCTTTTGGCAGGCTGTTCGTGGAAGCTTTGTGGGAGGCTGGTTAGTGGTGGAAAATGCTACGAAAGTGTTTTTTTCTAGGGATCCAGACGCAACGTTTGGCCCCGAATGTGCGAGCAGTTGAGTCTGTTTTGGAGTAGTTTTTGGTGCAGGTGCCTGTGAATCTCTTCTGGTAGGGTCTGTGCCGGTGCTCAGGTTCACAGGGTACGGATGGGCCAGAATGTACTAGTTTTTTTTTTCTAGGGATTCAGAGGCGGCGTTAGGCAGCCAAAGTGCGACCATGGGAGGCTTGTTTTGGAGCAGAATTAGATTGGGAAAAGCTGTGGCGGGACCAGGTGTTCGGGGCCAAGATGACCGAGACAAATGGACACAAACTTCTTTTTTTCTAGGGATTCAGAGGCGGCGTTAGGCAGCCAAAGTG